GTGGCACATGTCCGACTTCCACCACATGCTCTGCGTACGGCATATGTCCATCCACCTGCTGTATTCATGGCTGTACAAGTTGCTTCTGCCATCTCATCGTAGTAGTTTGCAAAGTTTGATTCATCGTGACTCTCTGCCTTCAGCTCATCAACAGAACCTTTTAATGAATGATGTAATAAAGGATTCAAGCCCAGGACTCAATAAATATATTATAGGATAAATTAGATGTCAGAAACTACTCCCTCGCCTATCAATGCATGCACTATAGTGAGATATCTAAAGATGGTACAGGGTAACATGAATGTAACGAAATTATCAGTTTTCTCATTATAAATAGAGAAAATATCCCGAAAATTCATCTTAATTTTAGAAATTAACTCATTTTAAAATAATAAAATTGGGACCGAGCGAGAAAAAGTACACACTGATAGCTAAAGTGTCAGAAAACATAAAACATTAAATTCTCTCTTTACCTTTTAGATTGGCAACTTCTGTGGTCAAATCTGCAATATTTTCTTCTGCCTCTGACAGCCCAGACGTCGTATTGGATAGCCAATTTGTGAGATTTTTACAATCGCCATAACCCATTTGTTGTGGGGTTATGTTGATGACGGGTGCACACGTGCACGTTGGTGTATCCCTGCAAGGCGGGAATGGGTCTCTTGCGGCGGCAGTCCCCTCGGCATTACCCCATCCAAGCGCGCTAACAGCAATCACACATATTGCTAAAATTTCTTTTAAAGAACTCATCTTGAAATTGTTACTTCAGATTTTTAAAACGACTACTAGTATATAGTGCCCTCACGTCTATCGTATGAATGTAATGAAAAGTTTATCTAGAGGGGTCGCTTTTATAATAGTTACTTGACAAGGGGCTTGACATCTACATCTTGCGAAATTTCTAGAAAACCGGATACAGTTCAGAGAAATATTTACTGCAATTTCATGTTTGTGTGTACTAAAGCTATGTTTTAAAAGGTTATAATAGGTTTTCGGGGAATTTGATTGGATTTAAAGTTTATTTAATAGTATGATGTCCACAATAGCAAGTAGACAAACAAAATAAGTAGAAAAGATAATATAGGTAAAACTTGTTGACTTATTTCTCAGACGGTTGTTTATGTATTTCACCCGGACCTGATATGTCATTATACTACCACTGAATTGTCATTAAAAGTGCAACTTCGTTGAATTTCATTGCTTTAGAATTTCGTAGCATTCTGGGTTTGGATAAGTAATGTTTTCTAATTGTATTTACTGATTCTATTTTTATTTTCCTTTAAAGTCCCTGTCTAAAGTTTGAAAATATTTTTTTTATCAATCATTTACTTTTTGTCAGGACTTAAAAAGTGATTTTAGAGATTTTTGAACAAAAAAATTTTTTTTCAAAAAGTTGTGAGCATTTCATTTCTCAAATATTCAAATTTCCCGCCATTTTTCCAAAAAAGTTGAAATTTCTTAATCATCAAATATTTCTTAATGCATTTCAAAAAAGATTATCTTTTTAACACCAATGCAAAGATTAAACAAAGGACACACTGTTTCAATAATAAAATGCCATATTTAATGGGCCACTTCAATGTTTTAGCATATCAAAAATATTTTGAAACATTAGTGATGTCACTAAGGTACCAAAAACCTTTTGAAAAAAATTTTTTTTTCGATGTCAATCTTTTCTAAATATGTTAGACTTTCATAACAAACCAATGTTGATTGTCTAACCAGGTTAAAAGGAAGAATAAATTATGTTTTAGATATCATTGTACCATTGGTTTCTATGAGAACTAAAATTTTGAAATGCATTTTTCTCAGAACCATTTTCATGCACTGATAAGTTCATTTCTCGCTTATTTATGAACCGATTTTCTTATTCTTTTCGGCAAAAAACATGGGAGGATGAATGCTATACATTAGTATGAATTGTGGCTAATTAGAAGATATGAGTGACCTCTAAAAGTTGGTTTTAAATAAATTCACAAATTTTGGAACCAAAAGTCTATCAAAAACCACTTTTTGAAATTCAAAAAAAAAGTTTCACATATCACACTTTGATAACATTGGGTAAGACTACAATATAAGCCAAAGTGGTTTAAACTTTATATGGGGCCTTTAAAGTAAAAATTCATATTTGAATAATTAGCGTGTATCCAGGTTTTAAATATCAACTCACAGACACCATGAAAAATCATGGCCTTCTGTGTAAGTTCTAGATTATTACTTGTTGAAAACAGTAATGTTGATAAGTATCAGAATGACTCACAGACCGCATATCAACAATTCATTTAAAAATAAATTCACACATAGCAAAGCATAATACATCACTTTCCACCCAGTGGGAACACAGAATATTGTAACAATGGTCATACTATACTATTAGCAAATGAATGGTTATTATGTCTCCATTACAAGTGTTATAGTCTAACCTTTTTGTGGACGGTGTTCAGCGTCTGTAACAAATGGCAGGTGGTGGCATTGTGTATATTAATCGCTTATTTCTTAGTAAAATCGATTACCCAATGCCAGCATATTTCGTCTATGCTCTAAAATTTGAATCAAATTATAATTATTATCTTCTAAAAATCTGAGATATAAAAATAGATTTTGAGTGAGAACAGCCATAGAAACTGATTGGGAACTAGATGCCAATATGACCATCTTGCCTATAGTTTAATAAACCTGTTTTGCCATGTGTCATAAGTGTTGCACTAGACTTGATCATTTTTATGTGCTATATATCAGGAACAAAGCATGCTACCTTAAATGAATAAGAGTCTAAAGATACATTTGTAATAAGAGGCCACACACACATTTGTGAAATGTCCATCATTTAACATTTTGGGTATACACCATAAAAAAGTTAAAACACAATTTATATTTTTATACTTTATTCAGTCTTTATTTATAAATGTCCATCCACTGTTTCTAGTACTGTACAACTAACCAATTAGTAAGTTTCCAGTACAGTAGTCAGTACAGCCTGATAATACATTCTGTTAATACAGTCTGATAGTACATTCTAATCAGAGTAAATTCTCTCTGTGAAGTAATCACATATTTTTCATACAAAAGTGTTAATATTTTCCTCGTATTCATAATAATAATAAACACCCATATTAGGCTTGTAATATATGTGTATGCCCATATTAGGCGTGTAATATACGTGTATGCCCATATTAGGAATACAAAATATTTGGGTACACATGTTTGTAAAATAACATAATTTGAACATGAATTTTTACTTTAAATACAAAACACTTTTTTAACACAAATAATTTCAATTACACATTTCAAATCAATGAAACCCTTTTTTCTAGTTGCTAGGCATTTGTTTTTTGGTTGCTAACAGTTTGTTTATCATAACACATCATTAATTTTCAAAACATTTAAAAAAAGTTGAATTATACGAAATGTCTAGATAAAACTACTTTTGTTCAGAGAAAATGAACCGTTTTGTACATAATTCAAAATAAGACACCTGTGGGACACCCATAAAAATCAAAATGACATACTTTGTAAAATATTCTCGAACTTCACGGTGTCTCGCTGTTTTTAATAAAAATGCACATATCTTACTTTTGTAATAATACGAACATTAAAATTGAATCGTGTCAGCTCCTACATATTAAAATAAAAAATTGAACTTAACATTGTTAACTAAAATGCAAAACAGGTGTATCATAAAATGTGGCCTAGTGAAGGTCTTAAATAGGTGAGGCAAATTAATATAGGCGAGGCACATACAATAATGTCTTGATTAATGATTTAGTAAAATTTGCCTCGCCCCGCTAGCTAGCTAGCAAGGTCCATGATACTAAATCTAACTTATAGAAACAGATACAATATTAATTTGTCTCAATGTTAAACAAATTGTATGTCTCTCATTCCTAGCACTTAATTCCAAGTGTTTAGGCCAAAGTAAAAAATAAATGATTCCAGGCATATGTTTCACAACAAATTCTACATTTCATTTTGTCAGCGTATAATAAAAGGCTGTTCCCGCGTTTAAAAATGTGGAGCAATTCACTAAAGCTAGAAATCCAAAAAGTCTGTTTTGTTAACACGAGTCGATCAGCTGATGAAATGAAATGCAGAATTCAATGTAAATTTTTTTGACAACCCTTATGATCATCATCTCTTTATTTATAAATGAATATTGCTCAAAATCAACCAAAGCCCTTGTGACCTTTCTTACAAGAAACTTGTACTTTAAATCATAACTGTGACGCTGGAACAAAACAATGTTTTTCCACGGTACCAATAAGACATGGTCTAGCGATATAAATGAAAGATTTATTAGGTCTACAGTATGCAATGGACATTATATGAATATCAAAATAGAAAACATAACATCCTATGAGAGAGTGTAACATTCTAAGAAAGAATGTGACATCCTTTGAAAAAATGTAACATCTTATGAATGAATGAATGTAACATCTTTTGAGAGAATACCACATCCTCTGATCCAGCGTAACCAGTTTTCAAGACACAGCTTCTCATGACTAATTAATATTACTTTTGCAGTATATAATATAAAACATTCAAGTCGAGGTCGCACATTACTCGCACATTAACCTAACCGTCTACATCTGTAGCCGTTATATAGATATTCTAAATTGTACATGTTTACTAGACCTAGGCTACTTACTTGGGCAACATTTGGCACAGTCTTATATTGAGTATAAATAAATATATATAATAGACTACGTTACTGGTCACACCAGTTTTTCTACACTGTACATACTGGGCAGTTGGGGGAGGGGCAACCAAAGTGCACCTTAAGCAATACCATTTTTCTTGAATTCAAATTGTGGGCAAATTAGAAATTTGTCATCCTCCGATCACAGGGCTTCAAAATCCAGAATATTTTCTTTCTTTTTACACCCTGCTATAAGCAGTTAGCATTTCCCCGATTAAGAACTCACAATCTGATTTGCTGTCGGAACACTGTGAAAGCAATCATGTATACGGCATCGGTGCATAATAAGATCACGTGACTCTGTTTAATCGGACCTTCCAAAGTGGTTATAGCAGGGGGGAAGAAGGAGGTACGGATTCTGTACACCTGCTTAGGAGGATGGAAATTTGTGCATGTAAATGGTTTGCATGTGGTATTAAATTGAGGACAATGAATTTAACTATAAACTATCACTCACATTATTTTACTTCATATGAAACTCATTTAGCGGAAGTTGAGGGTATGATATTTATTGACCCTGCCTGGACAGCACTCCATCTTTAACATTTTGTTTCATATTTATTCTTTAATTTACTTTTTTACTTTAATCACAAACCTTTCACTTATTTATTTCCCCCGTTGCCATATCCATGTTTGACAAACACCCAGGTTTGTCAAAAACAGAAACGAGGACAATAAAATGCATTTTGACTTTTGGATAAAAACAAAAATCTTCATTTTATTGGCCTAATTTCAATTTGGGTCTTCATGAACACTCAATCATTGAATATTTCTTTATTTACATTTTTACATTTAAACATTATGTTTAGTTCAATATATTTGTTAATGTTATATTTACACCCTATGTGCTAACTTGATCGCTATTAATATCAAAATGTAATTTTGAGAATTTCTAGTGGCGATTTGGATATATTGCACATGTTAGTGAAATTATGACTCCAAACTATGCATTTTAGAGCAGATACATGGTACATGGCAATATATATAGAATACATATATTACAGATGTACCATATACTGTAGACTATATATGATAACATTATTTCCACTGCATATAGAGAGATTTTTACACATAATACTTTTTTCTTGGCATTCATTTGTTTGTCTCCCAGTTTATTATAATAAACTTCTCAACTAAACGCGCACCAATATTGCAAAATTATTGCTTGAGAATTTCACCATGTCATGAAATTAAGTTGTGGTGTGTCATGACATTTGCTGCGAAGCTGTTTTTAACAAAATGAAAATCACGTCTGCTGCACAAATAAAAAGTTCCTTGGATCATCAGCAAAATCAGGATACTTTTCTGGATCCCTTAAATACTGTGCTACATAGTTTCTAATTTTACCAGACCTTGAAAGTTCTTCTTTTTGTATTGGAGCCCACGGATGAAGAGTGTGGAGGCCTGATTGTAAAAGATCGCGCTCTAAGCCCCAGGCTTGCTCGATTGCTCGATGTTTGGCATGGTGTAAAATTCTCTGTTTTTCCCGCTCTAAGGTCGTACCATAACGAATGTTTATCACACTATGATTGCCATGGAGACGAATGTCTACCTGTTCAGGCGCATTCTGGGAAGTATCTCCACCTATTGGGAGTCTATGAACACTGACATTCATCCTGTCAGTGATTTTATCGCCATCTTTTAGCGATAACTGTTCGATGTCAAAGTTGGCTTGGGCAGCATCAGCCTTGACGAAATAATGAGTATCTTTACCATTGACTGTGAACTGTAAATCCACATAGTCTGTATTGTTTAGTAAAACAGCCACTAATTGTTGACTCTGATGATCAACAGTGTCTAAATAATGTACTCTAACTTTATTATTCACTACAGAGAGCGTCACCCCCGCTCCGAAGATTGAATTAATCGGGGTGAGATTCTCAGATATCCCGCTATACAATGACGTAACTTTTGACTTTGGTACGGTGGATAGATCTAGGAAGTTATCCATATCATGGTTAAAAGCACATTTGAAAGCTGACGTGACGGGCATTAATTCAGTTGATTTCTCGTGAAGTGATTGAGGCCGGATCACCCCCGAGAAGGAAACCTGGGGGAGAAGACTGTCAATATCGTACCCTAGTGCCCCCATCCAGCTACTGATATCTGAAATACAAAAAGCGGTCATGTATATTCATAAATTTCAAGAAAAATATAATCATTTATTCACGAATGTTAAAGATACATGTACAGGTACTCTTGAACTTATCATAATAGATGGATTTGAATTTCACTGTACACTGTACATGTACCTCTTCAAATATTTGAATGGGTTAGATTTTTTACACTTTAATGACTATATATAGTGACATCATGGTTTTCCATAATCGAGACAGATCTGCTTATAATGAGGTATTTTATTCTCTGAATAAGTTTAATTTTCTAAATCATACCTGTCATTGTGTATGCACCATGATGACGATTAATGGGACTCAGGAACATGTACATGTTCATCACCTCTGGAGTGTCAGTCGCATGATCCAACTTATGAACAGCATTTTTATAATCTGGCGCTAACCATCGTCCAATCACAGGGTTGTACCATCTGGACTTAAACAATAGGAGTTTCGTCGATGGGTCATATATGCCTCCTTGGTAACCAAATGAGAAGTCAAAATTAGGGTAAGAGTCCTCGACAATTTGCCCGTATGGATCATAGGCGACTTGCTTCATCAAGGCTCCTACTGCATTGTATATAGCCACAGGAGAGCCCATAGGGTCTGACGCAATGTAGTAGTATGTGTTTTCACGCTCCATTGCGAATAAATGACCATTGCTGTCATAGTATAAAAACGTGACAACCTTAGTTGCGTGATTATAGATGTGAGTGATTCGGCTTTTATGGTGAATATCAGCGTAGTAATACTGGACTTTATTTCCGCCTGTTACATCTTCACGAATAGTCAGTCTGCCGTATGGGTCGTAATAATACTCAATGTAGTAAGCGCCCTCTTTAGATGCCTCAACGAGAAGACCAAGTGAATTGTGTTCGAGTGTCTCATCATGACGTCGTGTCATGAAACCATCAGTATCAAAACTATATGTGCTTCGTGAGTAACTCTCAATTTGATCTCTACTGTTGAAAACAAGTTCATTCTCTCGCCCATACTGGCTAATTGTTTTCAAATTACTGTTGGCATCATATGTGTATTTCCACATTGGCTGCTGATTGACTTTTACATCGAGGATATTGCCATCCATATTATAGACACAGTCGTAGCGTTTGACATCAGTCTGTGCCGTCTGACGTATTCGCACGGTCCAAGTCTGTATCCGCTGCAGTTGGTCGTAAACAACATCCAGTTTGTACACGATCGCATTATTAAACTTTAGAATGTTTGTTTTTAATCTGTTGTATCCATTAGTTTCCGTGGTAATCTCAGTGTTTACGTCACGGATGATACTTGTATGATGCTGAAGATAAGAGAACGTAAACGCTTTGATTTTCAAAAGCCGACCATTAGTTGGACTGTATGTGAAGTTCATAGGACTGAACTGCTTTTCTCCTATTCGCGCCTCAAGGGATGTTATTCTAAAGTGAGGATCATACTGGTAGCCAAATTTAGCATCCAGCAGGTGTACATCAGTCAGATTGAAGTAGATGTTGTGCTGTCTAATTAGCGCACTCCCTGGGGCATAATTCAGTGCACAACTGTATCCATTAATCGGGTTTGAGACATTCACGTCACGAAGTACACCAGTATTACCATCGAAAATATACTTAATGGCTGATCGGTCATAAACGATCTGATCCAATTGCGAATATCGTGTGTAGTAATACCCGACTCGGCGTCCACTTGGATAAATCTGACGAATAAGATTCCCAGTGCTTGTGTAATCCTGCAGATATGGGAACTTACTTTCCGGAGGCGTATAACGGATGCGATGGTAATTTAATGTGGTGAGACTATCAAACTTGTGCTCCCCGAGTTCTGGCATTTTGACTTGTTTAACATTTCCTAGGTTGTCATAGCGAATAAGGTATTGTTTACCACTTGGGAGAATGACATCTGTTGGCTACAAATAAAAACATACATGGATACTAACAAGTGCATAAAATGTGATATCAACAGAAAAACATCACAAATAAGTAATTCTGAATGAATAAATTGAATTGAATTGAAATATACTGTATAAATAAATGTTATCGTATACATTATTTGACCTACATGTTAAGATATTCCTTATCTGCAATATGTCAAAATTATGTCTGTAAAATATTTTGGAGGTTTTCTTTATGAATTTTTTCTTTTTTCTTATCCAACATAAAGTAGAAAATTTAGAGCGATCAGCCTCAACTACTTTTTTCAATTAAAATATTCATGTCCACATCTACATAGATACACGGCCTTAAGATTTTTAGATGACTATTGGTCTTAAGAAAACAGACACATAGGGAAACTTGCCAATGTTGTATCATACCTTAGTTCCTTGGCGATATATATATCTATAGGTGGCGACACCTGACAGCTTACGCTCGACCAAATTTCCTGTCTCGCTGTCATGAACATGTTCAGCAAACACATTTCCTTGGTTCCAGCGCAAGAGTTGTCCGTGAGAATTATACGAGATGTTGACAGGGTGTATGGTTGTCTTGGAGATGATGTAAATTGGTTGTCCTGTTTGATCGTATGAGATTGTCACCAATTCTTTGTTGTCTTTGTCAAAGATAGTTTCGTTTCTGCCTTCCCTGTCGTATTCAAACGTCAACAGGTTGGCTCCATTCACCTAAAATGCAATCGGGTGATTAATAAAAATAGGAATATAAACTTTGGGAATATTTCAACATTGAACATTACGAAACTTCCAGCTGTCTGACTGCCAATGACGATTGGCAATGAACTTGGAAAAACGAGTTGCCCATTGGGCAATGGACTGAATGCAAATGTTACATTGGGCAATCATGTTTTCGACCTCAGTTGTGACATTAAAATAATCTAAATCACATGTTTTTATATAACTGATAAACTAGTATAATCTTGATTGTATATGTAGTTGAATTTAATTGTAGAGCACAACCAGTAGCACAACCAATATATGAGCACAACCATATTCACAGCAGTATTCACAACCATATTCACAAGAGTGACATATTTGGAATTAAACATGCATTTGCCTTGCAAGATGAACCTTAAACATGAACCTCATAAGGACATAAATGAACCTTAAACATGAACCCCATAAGGACATTCATCTTTAATTTTAACAAATTCCTCTTTTCTTAAAAACTAGTTCCTATTTTGAAAATCTCGAAGCAGCTGATCCTCGTTAATGCACTTCTCCCCGCAATTTACACTATATCAACACAAGAAATTCTACCACTGGATATAACAATGGCACCATTCGGAAGAAATGGTGATTCCTGAGACTGAAAAGGTGATTTGTCCAAAATGCAAGTTTTAATTTTATTACTCATTGGTTTAAATCACAAAGCCATATTTCAGAGTTAGTCATCTAAATGCACTCTTATTGAAAATCACATTCTGTGAGCACAAACCATGCTTAAATCTTGCTAAAACATGCTTAAATTCAATTAATTCTTTGCTATCATTGGGGAATGCATTATTGAACACATGGGAGGCGTTAGTGTGGGTCAAAGGCATCAAGTGCTTTTAATATCTACACATTTCAAATAATACTACCATTATCAGGGGTCATTCATTAAAAGGGTATTATTTTTTGCTCAATCAAATAAATTACTTTCAATTAGATAATGAACTTAAAAATCGTTCACTAAATGTGACAAAATTGTTCATTATCCATTTAAAAGTACATGTAAAATAAATTCGAGTACGAGTGCAATTTAAAATCCATGTAATTTATGGGTTATTTAGCCAGGAATTGATATTCATTATTGGGGTTCTTATGAAGTATAAAATATTCTCATAAAGATATGGTTTACTTTGAGATATCAATATTTGAATATACACATTGGTAAACCATACATCTATGTACAATGTTTAAATTCTATTATAGATATATAATCAATAATTTGAATATCAATTTTTTATCAAAAATGTTTATCAGTCACTGGCTTTAAAATTTATGAAGACCAATCCAATAAATCATGCCATCTATTGGTTGTGATGCCATCTTTCTAGCAAAAATAGGACACATTTTGGTAATTTTTGAAAATAATATTTTACAAACATTGCTGCATGCAAAGTATGACATCATAAATCTAGTTAATGTACCCTCGTTTATATAGTTCACCAATAGAGGTCAGGATTTATTGGAAAGGTCTATTATTCATAAAATCTTAAGGTGGTCATTTTGTCTGCAAAATTTGCCTCACCCTATATATGCTTTTGCCTCACCCTCTATGTACTTATGCCTCACCCCTATAGGCTTTGCCTCACCCTATAGGCTTTTGTCTTATCCCATATTGGCTTTTGCCTCACCCCCTATATACTTATACCTCACCCCTATAGGCTTTTGCCTCACCCCTATAGGCTTTGCCTCACCCACATGCTTTTGCCTCACCCACAGTGAAAATACAATCAGTGACCACTTTAAGATTTCATGCAGGAATGGTTAATGTTAGTCAGACATACCAACAAACGCTTGCCGCTAAATGCAGCATGGTCATTCCCATCATGCACACTTGCGTCTCCTACCCTCATTCGACGACCAATTTTATCAATCATTTTATTCTTGCGTGATTTCCCTTCACGACGGAGATAGTACCGCCACTCTAGCCTATGGATGAGATTATCCGGCATGATGACTTTTCTCTTCATGTGCATCGGGTGGTCATTGCCGAGGACTGGGTGACTGTTAGTTTCTATGGTAACTGCCATGTTCGATGGATACTCAACGACGAGAGATCCATCTTGTGTATAGGAAATCTTCGTTTTTGCTTTTCCTGAAAATTGAAATTTATAGCTTATTAAAATAATTGTAAAGAATTCTCCTGAAGTACATGTATATTTCAGTCCCCTTCAAAAGTTTAGCAACTGTAATTGTCTCTTCCTGACCTATCCAATAAAATCATTCCATTGCCAAACCTTCGGAGAGGGGTGTACGGACGCCTATATAAGGTTACTTTTTTCTAATTTCATGCATATATTTAGCATGCTAAAAGAAACTTCATGAATGACATACTTTGCTATATTTTTGTAGATGCATTCCTGCTTACTATTTCAAATTGCGTTTTGAATCGAAAAATCAAAAATATCTTTTAAATGATGATTATTATACAGATTCTAATCAAAATATAAAAAATTAATGCTATTCTATATCAATTCAACTTTGCAATGAGAATATATTAAATGAAATTTAAATAACAAATAACTAATTTGGATTGGGTGGGAAAATGGGAAATGGGTTCTGCAAGGGGATTTAACTTTAAAACAATATATGGCTCTCAATTAAGCTGGATTTTATATTGCTACCATAAAGTTCATTTAATTTTGGGAAATACAAGTTGCGAATTATTTATTTGTTTGATTTTTCGTATATGAATAAGCAGCATGGTTCAGAAAGGAGGGGAACTGTAATTTTGAATCATAAAGGCTGGTTTCCAATTATCAACAGCTGCTGAAAAACAAAATTATTTTTTTAGTTTCCCCCTCAAAATGTTGATTTATCTCATTCAATTATCAAAAACGCCAGCACATTTCTATTATGTAATCTTCATCTACCCCCTCCCCCAATGGAGTTATCTTTGTTCTTTTAAATTGTTCATAATTGGACACCATGCCTAATATGGGAAAATATATACCACTATCAACAGCGGATTATTTAAAACCGGAATGGAACAAATGGCAACAAAATAACATAGTGTCCTTACTTAAATCTTAATTATATAAATAAAATAAAAAGTTAAACCACAACCCAAAGGAAAAGCAAACTTTAAAACATATTATTTAAATATTAAATAAAAGTGGAAATCATAAACAATTTGGAATTCTTAAATACATGTATAACCTTGCAGTTCTAAGAAAACTGGTCTCATTTCACTATTTTTCATGCCTAAAACAGATATACACATTACATTTAAAGAAAAATAGGCTAATGAGGCTCATCAAAGACAATGAGTTAGAAATACTGGTGAACATGCTAGAGGGTAGTTCATCTAAAGGATTACAGGGTGACCCGAAATCCTATACTTTCAGAAAAATGTCCTCAAATGTATGAGGGTAGCTCATCTGAAAGATTACAGGGTGCCCCAAAATGAAATCCTATACTTTCAGAATGATTTCCTCAAATGTATGAGGGTAGCTCATCTGAAAGATTACAGGGTGCCATGAAATCCTATACTTTCAGAATGATTTCCTCAAATGCATGGTATCATCTTGACATTTCTTATGATGTTAATGTTAAATGGAGCAAAATTCAAAAAAATCATTCATGATTGAGAGAAAAATGAATTCCAGAATTAGTGTTGCATTTTGTGTCACCCTGTATAAGCAAATTAATCAAGAATCTAACCAAGAAAAATTAATTGCAGACATATTAAAAGATATGATGAGTCCATTGCAAATCAAACTATATTCAAACTGACTGTCCAATTACATGTATGTTTTAACATAACAATATCAAAATAAAGATCTAAAACTAGAAACAGCTCCCTAAGCAGAAAGTCCCACCTAACAAAACATATTTTATCATATCCCTCATCAGTCCAAGCATTACATGATCTAAACTACAAGTAAAGTAAAGTCTGAATTGCTGAAATGTTTTACTCACCGTGCAGCAAAGAAAGCATATTCCCATTTGTTGCCATGGCAACCGCATCCCTCTCATCAGTGGTAATATGGGCCACAGCTCCTGTTGAGTCTACATCCGTTGATACAGAAGTCACCTCACCAGTTGGCTGGATAACGGCTGCTAGGCGACCAATTTCATCGTACTCGTAAAAGAATGTATGACCTGAAGAAACAAATAATTAAGAATGTGTTTAAAGGGATAACAAAGGTTCGATTGAATCAATTCATTATTTGATACATGCATCTTTTGGTCTTATGGCAATTTATATTTTCAACATTTTTTTCTCGTCTAATTTGCTTCATTTTATCAACACTTGTTTGCATAAAAATGCCAATGCCATTTGTTTAAATCATAATTAATGAAATATGTTTTTTTACCTGTTGATGTTTGTTTGGTCTCTAATAAGCCAGAACTAGCCATATAAGTAAAACTTGTTGTGAAGTTATCAGAATCGACAAACTTCTCGAGTTGAGCCATATAGTTAAGTTCTAGTTTACATTTTTGACCACCAGGGGACCGTATTTCTTTTGGCAATGCTTTGAAGTCTCGGACGACCTGTAGCTGTCGATTTCCTCCGTCGTATATGGAGATAAGTTTTCCGTAAAAGTTATTAACATTGTACCTGAAATGAGTGAACAGTTCAAAATTAATCTGATATATCTCATGTTTTTTTTAAATTTATTTTGGAATTTCTATAAAGAGATGAAGTGACATTCAAATTCAGATCTCTTCATAGTTGTGAATTGTCAAGAAGGATTCTGATCTGATCAAATTAACTGACTATATAATTTATCATAAAAATTATATTAATTGTATGAAAATCAGTTTACCTGATGAAGATGTATGAATACATCAAAAATTTGTAAATCTCAACATTTTGTTACCAAAATATGAATATGAAACTTCTAAAAATAAAATAAGATATACCAATGAAAATATCAAAAAATAATACAATAAATGAATAAATAAATGTACAGTACATATTGTTGAAAAAAAAACCTTACCTGAATCTGTACATGTTGTCATCTGTCATTACATTCTTTGTAAACAAGTGTTTCCCATAGCGATTAAAGATATACAACTCCAGGGTATCTCTAGACAACACCTCGTATTGGGCCCGTGGGGTCAAACCCGGGAGCTCGGTGACCACGGAATGAATTCGTAGGTTGCCCATATCGGCGACGTGTAGAACGTTGTCAGGGGTTACAGTGACGGAAGTGGGAGAGTGCAGCAAAGCTTGTGACGCTAACGATTCTCTGTCGTCATGGCACTTGCATTCTGGGTTAGCGCAATCACATTTCGGTATAGCTCCGACATAATGTGTAATCGTGCCATCAGTTTTTACGACGCGCACCTAATGTACAAAATGAAAAAAAATATCATCCACTCATCTTTAGCTCCATACTGTGAATAAATATGTTTCAAACACATGATTTCTCAACAATGAATTTTTAAGTCAGTATAAGTTATTGAAAAAATTCCATGGTACTACTAAGTTCACGATAGGTTGACAAATTATTTTGTGCAAATGTGCATCACCATAGTGATAACAACCAATACCTCAAAAACTGGTGCCATTTTGAACAACAGAATGACCTAAATTTATTAACCTTTGTATAACTTTTTTATTTCTCATTTGATTATTGTCAGTTGTTACATATAGATACCTAAAAGAGGGCATACCAGTGCATTTATAAAAATAATCTATTAATCTTATAGTTGCCATGACTACAAATGAAAATATTATTAAAAAGATTGCTACCAACCTGGTTGACAAAATGAGAATCACTCTCCACGACATACAAATCTCCATAGGGACTGAACGCAATATTTTGTGGTGATGCCAACATGACGTCATTTGCAATCTGCGGCCCTGATTGGTCATCTGTTATGAGACTCCTCGTTTTATTGATCTTCTGAGGGCAGTGGACGGGTCGACCAGCAACAACGACAACCTTGCGGTCTTTGGTGAGCTTTAGTATGACGTTGTTGTCTATGACGTGGATCATGTCATCTAGGGGGTTGACGGCCAGGGCTGTGGGCCACCGTAAAGTCACCTACAAGTGATACACAAAGAATAAGATCAACACAAAATGGTAATTCTATTCTGGGATATTGAGAAATATTTCTTTTTATGGTATGTTAATCGTTATACCTTATTCCGATTAAAATGTGAGTTTATCAATTCATATGGTTTTAAGGAGTTTTTTTATAATCAATTAAGTCATTGCAATTCCTGACTACATAAACTCAAAGACTATAAATGTTAGTATGACTTTCTATTAGATTATCTGAATCTGTATTTTGGTTGTTAATGAATAACATATCACTAAACATGCCCAATGGGATTTTCATTCATTCAATTTATATACTGTCGTTCACTTTTGGATAATGTCAACATACGATACATACCTCATCAAAGTCAGCAGGACGATCGCAGGGGAGCGGTATCCAATCAGATGGCTGGGATTGTGATCCAATCAGAGTGGAGATGATTCCTTCTTTGTTGATCATGCGAATATTCGGGCCATCAGTAAAGTAGATTATTCCATCCTTGTTTATTGCGATTCCTGGGAAAGTAAAGTTATGATTCAACCAGAAATAAAGACATATACAAAATAATTGTTGGAATCGTTTAAGTGCAAATTAGCTCAAAGATTTGTTGACTCAAATGGAATGAAAAGTTATTTCAACTAAAGTTACTTTCTCGCTTATATTACTAAATTCTTGAATATTGTACCTTTGGGGTAGTTAAGCAATGCTGCCGTAGCTGGACCCCCATCGCCACACCTGTTGGTATCCCCTGGGGCACACTGAACCCCAGTTCCGGCCACGAGCTCATAATTGTCTGCCAGATCACGGACAGGACCCATAGTTTTAATGCGTATAATTCGCCTGCTTTGGTAATCGGAGATGTAGAGCTTGCCGTCGAATGGATTCACGCTCATGTAGTATTTGTAAGGAACATCGGAGGTTCTAAAAAGTTAACTCAAAATTGTACTTCAGAATACAATCATTCCAAGGGCAAAGCCAGGATCTAAAGACAGGTGAGGCATATCTAAATTGGTGAGGCAAATTTTAAAAATAGGAATGGCAAACCTAAACTTAATTAAATAAAACAAAATCTACTCAGAGACTTTATTTCCAAAGTTTTGGTTGAAAAACATGAGAATAAAATAAATATATCTTATATTAGCAGAGACCAGTAAAGTATAAAGAAAATACATTCATGAAAGAAAACAAATAAAGTCAAAATTCTTTGGAGCTTGAAACAAAAATAGTATAACGTATATATGATATTTTAAATAATTCGAAGTAAAATGTCTAACTGCTAGGCCCATTTCAACAAATATTTTGAAATGAATATACACTCATTGGAATAAAGCAGTCATAGACTCCTAGGTCTCCATGTTTTGTTAGAAATATTACGAAGCATGCAAACACCTTTTGACCATCCCTAGCCCTAGCACATGATATCTCATTTTATAAAATCCTCTCTCCATGTTAAATTTTTCCACATTAGATGATTAGAATATATATTACAACATGAAAACTATTCTACTTGTCAACTCTGACATGATTTATTTGTAAATCTTTGAGACAATTATATAAAGTGTTACTATGCCAACTAAAACTCAAACATCGATGTTGCCATAACAAAATGTCGACTACAATTTACAAACTTGAAACAATTGTTACAGGCTGAAACAATATGTTACCTCAAATTCAGAATTTCCAATGCATTATTTGGAACACATTTTTTACAAACAAAATGCATAGTATCACTTTAAATATTTGTACAACTTTTTGAGACATTAAGATAGTGTTATAGTTAGAATGTAAAGATTTAAAACTGACAGCGTCAACAAATATGTACATGTATAGTTAGATTGATGAGGTATACAATCACACATATACATTTTATGATAATTTAAACATTAACTCTTTGACAAGGTCCGTGTGAAAATATCGCCTAATATATGAAAGCTTTTGCTTATTTAAAGACGTGATGAAATATGGCGATCACTGGTTTCCTTGAAATAGGAAAGTTTTTGCTTCATTTAAAAGATGTCACTTGTGTTCATCAATTTAAATTCCTGTTCAAAGTGACCTTTTGACATTTGAAATTAGGCTACCCGTCAAAGAGTTAAATGTGACAACATATTACGTGTAATGACAATGCAAAATATGACAACATATATATGTTTGTTGACAGCATTAAGTATGACAACATAATAATTGTCTTATGACAATATAAAGTGTTACAACATATTTTATGTATATGACCAGTTACCTCAAGAAGATATCCTCTGACAGACTATGGAGAAAATATGACAATATAAGATGTGACAATATATGTAATATGACAGAATAAGACAAAGAGGGAAAGATATTCCATCTAATCAAACATAAAAAATATAATGGTGGTGTTGGAGTTCTACATCTAAATTTTTATTTCCAAAATCACCATAATATTTTTCAATTTTTCTTGATCATCGAGAGTGAAAATTCAAAGTGGCTATGAAATGTATATCTCTGTCTTATATTGCCCCTTTAATTTACTCACTGGACAGTGCCAAGTTTTGAAAACATTAACCATTGTATGTAGTGTTGGTACTAAAAAGCACTGAATGGTACATATTGGATCATAATGGTATTTTTTGACAGTGCAAGTGTAACCCATCAAATACATGCATAATCTCCTCATTTTATTCAATATCTAGGTATAATTTGAACCCTGTGCATGAATCCACCCCTGTGAAGATGTTGAATCTTAAAATTAGTAGCACTTCAAAATCTCATGCTATCTTATGTGCATTATCGCAATCAATCAACCAATCAATAAAACAAACAACTAACCAATCAACTCACCTAAGTTGAAGTACACTAGCCATTTCCTGGCGACTTGTAGATATTTTCCGTATGAAGTTATAGTCCCCAACATAAAGGCTCCCATCAAGGCCATTGGCAAGTGCAACTGGGGCAAGTAATTTTTGCTCTGTCGCTTTCCCGTCACAATCGTCACATTCTGGGTTTCTCTGATTTCCAGTACCTACGATGCGACATAAATATTGGTTATAAAGTTTCAATGACTCGAGATTTGTAAATTAATATTTCACTCATGTACATGTATTTCTTAAATATCATTTTTACTTCAAATATTTCTTGTTCCCATATCACATGTATCTCTTTCATCGATTCATGCCTGTTAATTTATTCCTTGCTAACTTCACTCTCTTTCATGCTATTTCACACTTAAATTTGAATGAAGTGTCTGATTTTCTTGCATTTCTATACAATTTAGAGTATAGACTACATGTCTATTTATTTTATTCCTTGCTAATTCCTATCATTTCTCTTTAAAAGGACGATTCTCGGTTTGGAGAACAGTCTCCTGGGCTAATAATTTTTTAATGAAAAATATAGAAATATTACCCAAATTAAACTATAAATATTCAAAAGAGGACATTAAAATCTACAAGATGTAAAATTTATAAATTGGTCTGAAGCAGGGATAACGTTCAATTTGACCGATTCAATAAAATACAAGTCTCGATTTGGGGAAAAAAGTTCATCAGTGTACTGTGCTAATATTTTTTCGCGAAAAATCTAGAAATATTACCCAAATTAAATTATGACTGTTCAAAAGTAGACATTCAAATCTATATTATGTAAAAAAATCAAATTTATCCGAAGCAGGGATAATGCTCATTTAGATTGATGAACTTCGTTCTCCAAACCGAGAATCGTCCTTTGAATGAAGTTTTTGAATTTCTTGCATTTCTATTCAATTTAGAGTGTCAACTTCAACACTGTTCACTTTATTCCTTGCTAATTTCACTCTTTTTTATGCTATTTCTCATTTAAATTTGAATGAAGTGTCTGAATTTCTTGCATTTCTATACAATTTAGAGTGTCAACTACAACACTGTTCACTTTATTCCTTGCTAATTCCTCTTAAATCCTCTCAATTTGGCATTTTAAAACATGACTTCTCTGATATAAATTGAAATGTTACCTGCTAGTGTGATCATCTCCTTAGGCTGTTCTTTCAGATAAATGTTAGTACCATCTCCCTTGTGTAGAATGCCTACAAGTACATATTAAGGAAATTATATCCTTTAATAGTAACTAGGGTGCTTTAAAAGGATTTTAGACATGCTGGTCAAAGATGAACTAAGGACACTGACAAGTGCTTATTTCGAACACTCAATTGGTCTACAAAGAATATCTTGCATGTTGTTTTATTATAAAATATTGGTGAAGTATAAATAATTTTCACAAAAATAAAATTTAATCTAACAGTACAGTATGTTATCTAACTGCAGATTCATTTTTAGATTATCTTAAAAAGTCCACGTTCTTTAAATTCAATTTTACCTTCTTGAAAGTTATACGTGTGGTGGACGTCAATGTTCCAGCCTCCAATGTCAGAGGAAGTGATGTCATAACCACTCATTGTTGTCGTTTGGGTTTCCCAGAATACCTTAGCGCATTCCCTGTACTTGTAACCCACAGACACTGGAAATGTAAAAACATTTTTAATTTTGATATTTTAAGTTTTCTACAAGTATATCATGGTTTATACTGTACTTTGTAGCTGTTAAAACCAAAGAGCACTTCATTAAACACTTTCTATGTCATAGAAGTTGTACTATACAAAATGGACTGATGTATGGACAGACAGAGTGACAGTGGGAGATTCCCTATATTAAGATCACCAGAGTAAATATAAAAGATATCAAAACATACAATTCTCTAATACAAACCTCTAGCAGTGACGATTCCAAATACTTTCTGATTGTACGCATTCCTCCGCTCCCAAGCGAAGCGATACTTCAAATCTGGGTCAGCTTCAAATACCTTCTCGAATACGTTCCCCTCTACCGCCACGCGAAGCTCCACCGTAACAAGATTCTCTGGGATCTTTCCGGGGGTGAGCTGTATCATTACTGTAGACATATACCCTTGTGTTTGTGAGCTGTGGTAAATGAGGTGAAGGTCACTGCCGGGAATGGGAAGACTCTCTTGAAGGACCTGAAATCGACAGCATACAATTAATGTAACAACATTGACCTTACCTAAATACTTTTCATTTTGTTTGGCATAATTTATTTCAGTTACTGGTATAATAATGTTGAAGATATCACAGTTGTTTTCAAGGCAATAACATGCGAAATTTCACCATTATTTTTTTGCACGCTGATTTTTCTCCAGCAATTAACTTATTCAATATCAAATATAAAGATTATGATTGTGTTAAAACACGCAAGCTGTGAACAAAATACATTTGATTAACTTACCTGTGACTCAGGGATAATTGTGCTTCTATCGGGACATGCTCCTAACTGAGTATGTTGCCATGTCGACAGAACCAATGGCCGCATGAAGACGTAATCATGGTTTATTGGACAACTGAGTGTCGCTTGGTCAACATCTTCTTCATTCTCTAGTGTCATGGTAACAGTATCCATGACGATTATTTGATTCCATGGGACAGTCACGGTGACGACTTTTGTCTTGAATGGGTTACGGAAGAAATTGAGCATGACTGATCCACCCCCGTTCACCAACAAGTCAAACCTGCATCAAAAAGAATATTTTCTCAAAATCTGAAATTCCAACGAGACTACAGCTAAGTGGGGTGCTATTGGAATGTGATATCTATAAATGGGAATGAAAGTTATTCATTTTAAGATATTCCATTGAATTTATTTCGAAGCTATTGAGATATCTTAAGAACTTACAGTCCCAACTCTCTTGATAGCGTGAAGCCATAGAGTGGTTGCCTAGCAGCAGAGACCCTAACACCAGTCAATGGGCTCCCATCTACGCCAACGATTTTCCCACGAATGACGGACACTTGACTGAAACAAATTATGCAGTTTTCACTATTTTTAGCAATTTTCAAGTGAACTGAACCAAAATTGTCGAATTTGACCCCCTGAAATTCTTTAAAAACTGAACCCCACCTTGGCAAAATTGGTAGCCTACCTTGAATTAAAGGATGTCAATGTAGCGTATTTCTGCAAACTTTCATCTTCAATGAGAAACTTCATTCTATCGTAGAAAGAAGCAGTGCTGCTCTGAGGCTGTTTACGTAGGAGGATCTCCATGGGGTCGGGAGATGTGCTACAATGTGTGCTGTCCATACAGGCGGCCGCCATACAGCAATCCGGGTCATAACAATCAACCATGTGATCTGGGAAAATAACAATCAACCATGTGATCTGGGAAAATAACAATCGACCATGTGACCTGAGAATATCAGTCAACCATGTAATCTGGGAAAATAACAATCAACAATGTGATCAGGGAAAATAACAATGAACCATGTGATCTGGGAAAATAACAATCAACCATGTGATCTGGGAAAATAACAATCAACCATTTGATCTGGGAAAATATCAATCAACCATGTGATCTGGGAAAATAACAATCAACCATCTGATCTAAAAATGTGAAATATTAAAAAGTTTTTGTACAATTTTACATGGTTTTTAAGTTTAAATTAGGGATGGGACGGTTCGTTTCGGTTCGGTTCGGTTCGGTTTTTCGGATCATCAGCCATCGGTTCAGTTTTTTCGGTTCGGTTCATTCATTTTAAGGATTTGTATTGATTGACATGATTAGCTGCTTTGTCTCTGACTTGACTGCTGACTGTCACTTTCTTTTAATACAACCAATAAAATAATCTTCATTTCTTTTGGGAAAACGGAAATTTGAGATCCAGACGCCATATTTGAATGTATTGTGGGTGCGCACAAAATAATACCCTATATCGAACCTGCGCAAATATAAATTTGCGCAAATCTTTGTATCAATTATGCCATGTTATAACAATATTTTATAGATGGAATTTTATGTTATAGTATTTCGTGAACAATACATATTATTTAGAATACACAACTAAAGAATATAGTACCAGGGACCACATGATTGATTACCGAGGGATACGAATACGCGGATACGAAACGAATCTAGTAAACGAGTGAGCTAGCAACAGACAAGACAGACAAGGTAGGGACTAGGAATATCAAAAATGTTGCTGTAAAACAGTGTTTTTAACTGTTTTATTGATACTTGACCAATGAAATATTAATCCAAAAACGATCCGAAAAGCTGATCCGAAAGTAGGGCCGTGATCCGAAAACCGATCCGAAGGCTATGAACATTGGTTTTTCGGTATTTCGGTTATCCGTCCCACCCCTAGTTTAAATTAGCATCATTTTTCCAAAACTGTCATCACAATTTTTATTGCTCTCCATCCAAAATTTAATTGAGCATATTCTTATTTTTCTCTAATCAAAAGTTGCTTCTTTTTAAAAGTCAATTTACTTTAACAAAACAAACTTTTACCACCATTCCCAAATGTAATCAATACTACAATGATACAATGATATCATCCCTCACCTCCGTCATTATCACTGTTATCATCGCATTCCGTCTCCATGGCGATGTTGCAGGCGAAACCCTTCCACCCTTCCTTGCAACTGCAGCGCCAGCTATCCACAAACTTCTGACATACACCGTTATTATTACATCCATTCGGGCAGCCATCTAACAATATAGAAATTCCTCAATAAATTTATCTAGTAATTTAAGAATAATTAAATAATTACAAAAATTTCTCAAATCAAAAGTTGCATCTTTTTAAAAATCAATCTACTCTTACAAGACATAGTGGACTTATCCAAAATGTAATTATATAATGCAATATAGAAATTCCTCAATAAATTTCTCTAGTAATTTAAGAATAATTTAATTAATTAGGAATTCATCCAGATTTAAACATCATAGATTTAAACATGATCAATGTGGGAGGGGGGTTCCCCTATTTGCGAAATACCATTGTCTATTTATATCAAAGGCTAAAAATACTAACTTTTGACATGTAAATTCATCATTGAATTGAACTTATTCAAAAAATTCACATGCTTTACAGTTTCATGGTATTTCCGATAAAGGCTAAACCATTTTACAATATAAGGAGAAATTACCCAGAATTCATAGCTGAACCTCTGGAGATTCTGGTTCATATATGAATTCTGGGTAATATCCTGCTGTTATTTTACATAAAATTTAAATGTGTTACCGAGGGAACAGTGGCGGCCATTCCAGCCATCATGGCAGGTACAGGAGCCGTTGTTGCAGAACCCGTGATCTTTGCACCTTGTGTCGCAGGCTACCTGGTCACACTGGGCCCCCGACCAACCATTCTCACATACACATCGCTGGTTGTCGCATACACCATGGATACATGTCATTTGGCATTGCTCTGAAAAGTGATTATAATGTTAATAAAACGAAATGTCTCCCGTATTCCCACTATTTTATATAAATGAAAATGAATAAAAAATTTAAAAAATTCCCACTAGAGATTCTCATTGTACGAATGAGCTTTATGGTATTCCAAGGTCACTAGGGTAAGACACCAGAGTTCAAGTATAATTGTGCATTATATGAAAAAGTCATAGCCAATGGTCTAAAATAAGCTATCCACTCCAACTCACCCCATTTTTCTTACATGGTTATATAAGGTCACTAGGGTAAGACACCAGAGTTCAAGTATACTAGTAAATTGTGCATTATATAGTACTCATAGACAATGTGCCAGTTACATTACATGGAAAGAAATCCAATTACAACACCAAAAAATAATAAAAAACGTATTTAACATAACATAACCATACAATGAATATAATCTCCAACAACGACGTTTTTCAACACTGAATAATTCGACAGTTCAACACTGTTTTCCTAATTCATAAAACTTCACCAAGTTAAAAAATAACTTACCGGTCTCACAATTGGCCCCGATCCATCCCTGCTCACAGTGACATCTATCAGAGTGCGGGTTAAACATACCGTGATTTGAGCAGTTCTGGGTACAAAGGACAATCTCTGAATCCTCCAGGCTACAGTCGGAGCCTGTATAGCCTCGATGACAAAAGCACTTAGCCTCAAAGCAAATGCCATTTCCTGAGCAGTCAGAGGGGAGACAGTCCACTGTAGAGATATAAGTGGTCCGTTAGAGTGTATAGATAGATTTATTTGAAGAATAGATCAGTCCCAGGCCTGTCAGAGGGTTTCCTTATATGGAGGTAGGGATATTTTTGACAGTTTCCTTTCATGAAGGTATGGGAACTTTTTGACAATTTCATTTTATGAAGATTTTGACAATTTCCTTATAAGGACACATGGGAATTTTTGACAATTTCCTTATATGAAGGACGGGGGTGTGGGATTTTTGAAGAAAGTTTCAAGTACAGATGTGCATTCATTGAAGCTGAATATAATCATTAAAATTGGACAGATTTTGCACCATCCATATATTCTCATCAGCTGACAGGCTTTTTGACCAAAGCAAGGAAGGTTGACTCCCATGATTCCCCATGACATCATTCAAAGGAGGTCATTATTAATTGCCATGACTCCTCGTGGTATTATTCAAAGGAGGTCACCAAAAAGATTTCATTCATGTCCAAGTTATAACACCATTTGTTGAATAAAGAGGAAATACTCCAGGATTCTTTCATGTTCCTCCATATCAAGATGAACGATTCATTTTTACATAATATAAGACAGAGATATACATTTCATAGCCACTTTAAATTTTCACTCTCTCTCGATGATCAAGTAAATTTGAAAAATATTATGGTGACATGTTCATCTCTGAATTCTGGGATATTTTCCCCCACTTTTGGTTGAATTGAGCATACAATGTGGATGAAAAATTTTTGATGCCAGAGAATAATGGGATTTGCCAATCCTCCCTTAGACCGAAATGTGTGGTAAAGTAGCTAAGCAGCCATATTTGATAGAGATGACATCTATCAGACTTTACAAAAACAATTTAAGATTTTTGAAATACAAAACATGACGAAATATGACTGCTCAACTCTATAATCAAAGTACTTTTATTGATGATTAATGCTTTTATAATCATATGCATTTATAAGAATTGGCAATGAAAGTACTTCCGTCAAAGATAAGATGTGAAATCAAATACAACACCACCAAAAAGATGAGAAAATTAAGAGCTGATAATTCTAAATTACAGTGTACAAGTAATAGAATACTAAAAATTATAGACATTGATTTTGGATATTCTTATAAAAGAGGAGCACAAGGCTGTGGTTCAGACATGCACTGGACATTCCAAAATGATTATTTGGTCATGCATTGAACATTCTCAGACATGCACTGAACATTCCGAAATGATGGTTTGACATTCCGAGCGGATTCCTTGGTCATGCATGGGGCATAATCAGTTATGCATTGAAAGTTTCAAGTTAATGCATTGAAAGTTTCAAGTTAATGCATTGAAAGTTTTAAGTAAATGCTTTGAAAGTTTTAAGTCGATGCTTTGAAAGTTTGAAGTTAACGCATTGAAAGTTCTAAGTCAATGCATTGACATTTCAGGCTAATGCATTTACATTGTTAAGCTAATACATTGAAAGTTTAAAGTTAATGTATTGGCATTCAAAGTCATGCAGAAAAGATTCAGTCAGAAAGGATGTGGTGTTAAAAGGTTAAAGGATAAAATCAGAATGTAGTTCAGGGTCTGTGCAATATTGGTATTTAAAAATCATTCAAACTCACCTATGTGGGCTTCCTATAGGGGGCAGCACAAACTCAATAAAAATGAACAACTTACCTTATGTTTTAGTAGGGCCATTCCTGCACATAATTCATGCTTTAATTCTACTTTTTTAGTATAATTAATACACACACATTCCCCTCCAAAAATGAGGCAAACTTTTTCATAAAATACTCCTTGCTTATACCACTCTTTTCTCAGTTTTTCCTTGTAAGACTGGGTTCATCAGTTCCATGCTTTTTAGTGGGTCTGGTTAGAACATGCAATAGATTATACATTTTCTATTTTGATTGTTTTTCATATTAGGTTTGAAATGCTTGTAAGAACTCTACTCAGCTTATTATGATTCATATTCTTACATCGTCCAAACCTCGGATTTCCTAAAGCTAAGTTCACACCACGGCGCTTTAAAGCAGTGTGCAAAGCCACTTTGCACGGTGCTTTAAAGTGCCATCAAAGCGCCGTTAGTGTGAAACAAAATAATGAGTCCACTTTGCTTCATTTTCAACTTACTTTCTTCGCAAGCTTGTCCTCTGTATCCAGGGGAGCAGACACAAAGGCCTTGGACACAGCGGCCATTTCCATTACATGTGGGGACTTCACATTCTAAATCAGGGACATTGCATTCCTTGCCTTTCCAACCAGTATAGCACTGACAAGTTCCCCGAACAAATATTCCGTTGCCGTTACAAAGAACTGGACAGACACCTATAACATAAGCAATATTAGTGTGTCAGCACAAAATGTGTGACTACAGTTCTGAAAATTGTAGAAGTTCACAAAAAGTGTGACAAGTTCACAAGAAGTGTGACAAGTTCACAAGAAGTGTGACAAAAGGTGTTCATGCAAGTTTCGCTCCACTTGCCATTTGCAGAACACTGTCAGCTTCTTCGTTTAGCAAAATTCTCATCAAAGAAAAAATTCAAGTTGGCGGTCTTGTAAATAATAATAAATATAGAATCATCATGGTAGCAAGCACTAATTTGAGCAGTACTTACTCTGAGCGCAGTCCCAGCCAGTGTGTCCAGGAAAACAATGACATTGTCCACTGATGCAATCACCTCTACCATGGCAACCTTCGGGACAACTTTGATCATATTTGTCTGAAAACACAAACAACAATTTTGTTTTCAAAAGTGCATACAAGGTGCTCCAGGAGTTTATAATGAGCGTGACTGCAAAGTGACTGTGTGATCACTGGCAATGGTTTTTATGAATGCAGGAATCCATTCAACTGTGATTACTTTGGAGCCACAATTTGACCTCGTTTGAGTGATTATACCTCACTAAGGGCGCAGAAGATCTCATTTTGATGCTTCGTAAGTCCATGTACAGCACTATACAAAATAAACTTTATAATTTTTCTTGAGTTACTTTGTTCCATACAGACCAGATATGAAATCAAATTGGTAGCATATACAGTAAAACTGGTATATTTGAAGACTTCTCTAATCTAAACACCTCTCAATGTGAATGATTTTTGTCGGTTCCACTAACCACTAAGCTTGCCATGTTATTAAAAATCTACAAAATATTTTTGGCTTATCCCGTTGGCATTCAGATTAGACAGGTTTTACTGTACAGTTATTTGAGTGGACCACTTTTTGGGGTAACCTTGTACTTTCCAGTCCCTCTCACTCTGAAATGTGACACTGAATAGACTTACCATATATATCTGCCACAAAGCCAACTTTCTCTGGCTCATCCCCATCATTGTAAACAAAGATGTACCACATTCCTTGCTCCATGTACTCTACAAACGCAGATTCCCTTTGACTATCGCTACGTCTCGAGTCAACTTCCTGTAATCGAGTTAACAACTTAGCTATTTTATTTCAATCATAAGAGTACACTCGTCTGTCACTTCATTTACTTTCATCCCTCTTTAATATCTATTATGTGACTTTAATTTAATATAAGATTCTCCTAGATAAGGGACAAGTTAAATAATATTGCCCCTAAAATCAAAAAAATTATCACATCAAAATTTACTAAACATGCTCAAAAAAGTACTTCCAAACCAACAAAAACATTTTATTATCAGATCATTTTTCGGTACAATATAAAACAGAACTACATACCCTTTTCTCAATGGATCTTTTTTCTCGACCGCCACTTGGACTTGCGCTCAATCTGCTGCCATCAAATGTCTCAAAGAAATCATACTGAGTGTGAGTCGGCTGGACGTTCTTTCTTCCGTAAACTCCAATTTTGCCACTAGATGGCAAAGTAAAGTTGAACTTGAAGAATTGTGATTGGTCGAGATAGAATCTGGTCGGCCAGAAATCTTTCGGGGGAACAAGCTGCTGTTGGAGTTGCCCGAGAGGAAACTGGACGACAGTTAGCTCAGTTGGTGCCGGGGTAGTCGCTGAAAGTAGAGAAATCAAATATTATATTGATATTATTTTATCAATTTTATTCCATTCTTTATAAATTTTATTTCAGCATCATGATCACCATGATTTATGATTTTATAAGGATGAAAGATTTAAAAAAATGAAAGTTTCTCTTAAGATACTTCTAGAAAAAGATGTCCTGGTAATCATGTTTTAAAAAAGAAAATCAAGTAAAAAAGAATGGAATTAGCAAGGAATAAAATACATAGGCACGTAGTTAACACTCTAAATTGTATAGAAATTCAAGAAAATCAGACACTTCAATCAAATTATAGTGAGAAAAAGTGTGTAGTCGTCATGAGCAGACGGAAAATCTGGACATGGGATTCAATATTCTTTATTACTGATGTAATTTCATTGTATGATTGCTGTGCTTTATGTGCATTAATGGTCACTTTTTGTACTTTACTGTTTCAAATTGATCTTTTTTCTTTATTGTTTGAACTCAGATAATTGATAGGCTGTGATGACCCAACTCGGATGATTTAATTACATTTTAAATCACCAATTATTAATGCTTTATGATGAATTTTTTACAATTAAGTCAATTTAATAAGTCAGTTTTTGTTCTTTTTTATGCTGGTTTTACAACTCGTGCAAATGACTTGCACATGATACTGTTGATGTAAAAGTAATATACGACTTTATGAGAACTATTAAATAATTTAACGATCGACACAATATCATATAATCACTTCCTTGGATATTGATGACTTCCTGTTAACGAACGCAGAATTACGAGAATCAGAGAAAAAGCGGGAATTATCCAAGGTCATTCAAACTGATAACAAAGAAACTGCATATTTCAATGGTTTCTCCTTTCCAAGGAGAAAATCAAATCACGGTGGTCTCATTTTAAAAGGGACAATTCAATAGAAAAGAGTGGAATCAGCAAGGACTAAAGCGAACAGGCATGTAGTTAACACTCTAAATCATATAGAAATGACAGTAAATGATGTGATTTATCCATTTCTAAGAGAGAAAAGTCATGGACCAACTCAGCCAATAGCATATTTAGTCTCTTTAAGTAGAGCCTTAAATCCAGCAAGCGTAAAAAATCATTTTAACCTTAAGTGTAATCCAGCAGAAACAGTGCAAGAATCTAAGTGAGAAAGTATGTTAATTTTTCAATGATTTATCATACTGATGATCGCTGTTAAATCTTTCAAAAAATTACAATTCATTAATTAAAAGAACAAAGGCAATCGAATCAGCAGTAAGATCAGCCTATGCATAAGTTTTGCATCAACATTAATTATGTCGCAAAAACAGAAAAAAGCAAGAATTAGTGAGGAATTATATGAATAAACATAGAATTAGGGGGTCTCAAATTAGGAGAATAAATGCACAAAAATCTGGTAGGTATTTCAAGAACATAGAAAAAAATCGACACCGTTACCAGGGAAAAATATTTAGGGCGTCACTATGTCTTAGATCTTAAGAGGATACAAAGGAACGCTATTACGACACTACAGATTTAGACACAATAACTACAATAGTTATAATTTATTATCTGGTAAATTAAAGCCAACCCATACGAGAAATCTGACTGTGGTCATGTTTTGAAATAGAAAATAGAGTGGAAAAGAGTGGAATCAGCAAGGAATAAAGTAAACAGACATGTAGTTAACGCTCTAAATTGTATAGAAATGCAAAAAAATCAGACACTTTATTCAAATTTTAGAGAGAAATGAAGGAAATTAGCATGATCGGAGAGAAAATTTGGGCAAAGAATTATTATAGTACATTTCCTTAAGGACCTGAGTCATCTAAACTTGACAATATTTCATTGATAAACGTCTATTATTTTTGCAACACCAAGACATATAACGATCAGAACACCATTTTAGTAGAGAATTATGGGAAATGTATTGTCAAAGCAATTAGCGAATTACCAATTTATGGCGTAATGCGCTAAAAAGTCATCGACACACGGTTGTTTTTAGATTATCTAACAACAGATTTTAGGTAAAATGAGCATTTTATGATATTCCGAGACATTTACTTGTGCCAAACCTGCCATTTTTACACTTTATATGTTACGCATTTTCTGTACAGAATTTAAATAAGGTGTCTCAAAATGTTTCCCTTTCATTTTCCTATAATCTTGATAGGTAATCTGAGTCTTGTTATTCCTGTATAATTTCAAATAAAAACGTAACCTTGGGACAATTCTGAATATTCTAGAAATCCAACATTCTCAAAATTGAAAACAAATTTCTGAACTTGTATCCTGAGTTTATGATCTGTGGACGGAATAATTTTAAAAGGAGGGGGTGTGTAACCTTTGGCAAATAATCAACTAAGAAGCAGCAGGAACCGATCTACATTTGATTGTTACATATTAACAGATTGCATGAAATGTCAATGGTAGCCTATCAATTTCAAGCAATATTACAAATTAAACAGAAAACAGCATTAATGGAAAGCACACAATGTAATTATAAAACAATTTATCAAAACCGCTAGATCATGGCCTAGATTAGGCTAAACATGAATGAACACTCTAGCTAACCAATATCTGGGAAAGATATCATTGTTATTCACCTAGAATAATTGTATATGGTGAAGATATAACTTTTATTTACCTGGAATTATTCGATTTGATAGAAGATTAGGCGTATTATTGTACTCACTAAACAAAGCCATATGAAGCCATATCAAAGTAGTTAATTCTGAAAGTCTGAATACTCCTGGAGGAGAAACCTACATATGTATTCCAGCATCTCCTTAAGGAAATCAAGACATAACTCCTGTATAGATTAAGTTGAAGGGATATACATGGGAAATGCTATCTACATATCTAGGGGTGCTTGATATGATATCATATGTATACCTGGAATATTAGGATATGGTATATACAACTAAGGGGATAAAATATGGTATTTACACATACACACTTCTCGGGGGATAAGACTAAATAGGTTGGGAGATAAAATTTGGAATTTCCACTCCTTGAGCAATAAGAAATACCATTTATACACCTCGAGGTATAAGATATGGTGTTTAATATCTTGCAGTATAAGATTTGGTATGCACATACCCAGAGGGATATGATATGGTATTTACACACCTAGAGGGATGGATAATGTTATACATACCTAGAGAGACACTGGTAATACCAGGTGGGGGTCTTGTTTCATTTGATGATACAACTGTCACTGTTTTCTTGACAAATTGGAGACTTAGTTGATTGTTGATCACAACAGCTGGAAAATACAATTTTTTTTTATTAATTATTAATTAATATCTAATGAATAGGTACACCTTGAAATATGAAATACATTTTATTAACTCGAGTGATGATTTAATGACAGCCATATATGGTGTGTATGGTATATGGTGCATATGATATATGGTAAATATGATATATGGTGCATATGATATATGGTAAATATGATATATTGTGCATATGATATATGGTAAATATGATATATTGTGCATATGATATACAGTAAATATGATATATGATGCATATGATATATGGTAAATATGATATATTGTGCATATGATATATGGTAAATATGATATATTGTGCATATGATATACGGTAAATATGATATATGGTGCATATGATATACGGTAAATATGATATATGGTGAATATGATATATGGTAAATATGATATATGGTATATATGATATATGGTAAATATGAATGCATAAGATACATATGATATGAACATGTCCAAAATAATGAAGTAAAAATGTGATCAATATATTATTTGTAAACAAATTAATCAAAAGTCAAATAAAGACGATAAAAATAAATAAAACACAAAATGTTGAAAAATGTTCTTTTTACGAGTGGGGCCTATATGGTTCCCAATAATAAATTGCAATGGCCCTTTTTCTAACTCGAAAATATACAATTTAGTACAGTACTAATTTCGCTAATAGCATGTCGATTTAAACAACTATGTTCCTTATTGCTTTCTGATGTACATTATGCTAAAGTGGTACGATGCTAAATTGACCAGTCATTTCTGTTTTCTATTATCTCAAACAAAGAAGAGAAAGAATGATTGCTCAAATAACTTGAGCAATGAATAGAGAAATTGCCAGCAGCCATTTCATTTTTGTTTTATTGCTAAATTACGGGAGAAATGTCCCACTAGAGTTCAGCGGTATAATTTTATCCTGCGATATCCTTGATTTTATAAAGGGTCAGTTTTGATTATAATAGCCAAGGAATAAAATGTCACATTAATATAAAATAATTTTGTGTATAAAGGAGAAAAATTTGCAAGAAAAATCAATCACGTTTCCGGCATTTCTATAATTCAAAATTGACTATATGCCTATTTAAATTGACTATGTGCCCATTTTTCAATTAACCCCCATTTTCATTTTTGGCATTTCAAATCAAACAACAATGACATGTTTTGCATGGGTGATTCTCTGGTTAAGATAATTGGACAGCGTTTATTACTTTGATTTCATTATTAGACTCATCATAAGCAGTAGCCCAACCCATATCGTAAAAACAATTTACAAGTTTTGCTTTTCCCAAAAAATCAAAAAGGATTAAACAAAATATAAAAAATAAATAAGCATTTTATATTACATCAAACTAATAGAAAACCAGTTTATTTTCTTTACAAAAATTTTCATAATCTAATTGAAAAGTATTCAATTGTTGTCGCAATTGTCCATACATTGCCGATGGCTTTAATATTCTCTAAACCAATTCCCACTAAATCAATTATGTGTGTGACTCATGTCAACATTTTGAGAACTTTTTTTAAGTGTCACAATAATGTTTTCTATATTGTAAAGACAGGTTCGCTATTTTCTCAAATTCTCCGATTTTTACCTATTCAATAATTTTTTATTTTGCTTTCATCTTCGATATATACTAGGCCGTGACACTATGATTACTATATTTCCTGACTTTGATATTGGTGAAAACAGTTGAGAAAAATTGCCTAAAAATGGCATGCTGGATTTTCAAATTTCGATTAGTAAGATGGGAGTATCTTATTACGAGTCAATAGATTAGAATTCATTGGACAAAGCCGTCTTTAATATGCTCATCATAATACTGTTTCATTAATCCCCTTTCAAACTTAGTTGTGGTTTTAAAAAGGGATTATTGGGTGACGCAAATGTATTAACCGGTGACGCGAATCTTCCATTCAGCTGTATGTTATCAAACACGACCATATGGAGATAGTGGATTCCAGATATTACGAGATATTACCTAAAAATGATATTAATCACTATGAAAATGATAGTACTATTTAATCCGATTAAAACCTTTCACGGTTTACTAAAGCTGAATGTTTATTACATTTATAAATATATTTAATAATTATTTTGACAAATGCACTAATGTGCCCTATACTTTGAGCATCTAGTGGTATTCATATAACAAATTTCAAAAAATAAACAACAATAAACAATTCAAAAGTTCTATCAAACTCATTTTGTACATTTATGTCATGCCTCGCCTATCTATATTTGCCTCAGCTATTTTTCGATCATCCGGGCTTTGCCTCTTTTGGAGTTTATATTTCGTGGTGTTTCTAGCCAATTTAAGGGGACTCGTCCATGCATATTTAATTCACGTCTAATTTACTTCTGTTTTGTCACTTTGACGTGCCATCAAACATGATAGCATTATATTTATGAGTCAAAGCTGAGCAAAAACTGCAAAATGAGCAGACGTAATCTGTCACAATCATGACCCACCACAAAGCAGAATGAGCAGACGTAATCTCTCACAAATCATGAGCCACCACAAAGGGGTTTAAATATAATTCAACCTGACATTGATGACTCATAGCTTATGGATAACTGGTATGGGAGATAACAAAATGATAATTTAAAGCCATGATTTACAAAGTTTTCCAATCAGTCTTAACCACAAATAATGATCCCAATTACTGGGCCATGAATCTAAGCTCATTGTAGTTTACACTGACGGAAAATAATATACCAGAAATGCGGAAAACACCACAATTTAAGTATCTTCCTAAGCTAGTAGTAATCCAGATAATACACGAAGAAAGTATTGGAATAATCACTGGTTTATTATAGGAGTACATTAAGAAGAAACACGTCAAACTGTTACTTAGCCAGTAATTCCTATCTATTCCAGTATGAAAACTTTTAGGATTGATTCATTAGAGGAGTACATCAAGAAACATGTCAAACTGATACTTAGCTATTTTCATTTATTCCAATTTGAAAACTTTTAGGTTAGTTCAATCCAATTTACAGTTTTTTAACATTCATCTAATGTATTTGTTTCCCGGATTTGTTTATGGTTTCTGGGTGTTTGTATGGTTTAAATGTTGCCCTTTTTCCCAATAAAAATAAGACTAAAGTTAAATGGTAAATTTCAAAACAATATTGCCTCATCAGAAAGAAAATATTTGATTGGAAGACGCAAATGTAGTTAGTGTTTCTTTTCCTTGTCATGATACCGAGTGTGTCACTTTAAGATTGTTAAAGAAGACGGATCGGTCATTGATTAAATTGTGTCGTAATGTAGTTTGTGCACACATCAGAATAATCTAATAATCCTAAACCAATTAATTTAAAGACGTCTGAATCCCGGCCATATGATTCAATAGGGGTCAGATCTATTCCACGATCTTTCTTTCTAAAATTTGAATAAACTGTTTAATTTTATGGAATTTCCTTACAATTTAGGGTGTTAACTAAAAGTGTATATACTTTATTCCTTGCTGATTCCACTCTTATTCATGATATTTGGCAAAAGAAAAGCATGACCCATTCTGGAATTGCAAATGGTTGCACTTAACAGGGGCTTACTCATACAGCTTGGAGCATCAGCAGACGGCTCACATGAAATGATTTGTTTTAAAATTGAAAATACATTTCAAGAAATGAATCATTAGGACCTTGTGGGTGCCCCCATTTCCACATTGTCCCACTAAGAAAGAATATGGGAAGGGATGGGCCTGGGGGTACAGCAGGGTCTTCATAAAAAATACAGTTAACAAGAATGACCACACTTTATTTGATAGTTAAGCAAAATAGATAACTTCTATGATATTTTTCAGTTATGTGAGAAGCAAAAGGATATCACAACAAATTAAGTCCCATGCAATAAAGGAGGTTGAAGCTTTTACAAGTGAGAAACACTCCCCTCGCTCCCCCACCCCAATATTCCCTTCAAATGTAATTAAAGTGTATCTCAATATAACAATAACTGGAAAACACTATGCATTTCACACATAATACCCCGAGTTAGTTAACATAATTATAGGTGCCTATATCAAATATTTAGAGGAGCAACTAGACTTTTATAAGTGAGAAACATCCCCCCCCCAACTCTTTGCCTTCAAATACAGTCAAAGCGTATCACAAAATATTACAATAACTGGAAAACACTATGCATTTCACGAATGATACCCTGAGTTAGTTAACATATAGGTGCCTATATCAAATCGTTTAGATGAGCAACTAGACTTTTATAAGTGAGAAACATCCCCCCAACTCTTTGCCTTCAAATACAGTCAAAGCGTATCACAAAATATGACAATAACTGGAAAACACTATGCATTTCACACATAATACCCCTATTTAGTAAACATATAGGTGCCTATATCAAATCTTTAGAGGAGCAACTAGACTTTTATAAGTGACAAACACCCCCCCCCCAACTCTTTGCCTTCAAATACAGTCAAAGCATATCACAAAATATTACAATAACTGGAAAACACTATGCATTTCACACATGATACCCCGAGTTAGTTAACACATAGCTGCCTATATCAAATCGTTTAGAGGAGCAACTAAATCTCGATGGATATGAAATCTGTATATGTTGTCATCTTCTCAATACCACCCTGTATATCACCCCTTTGTTATCGAACAGATCTATCATACTATTGTCCTCAAGCCATATTTGCATTCTTTACACCTGTAGCCAATAATGAACAGGTTCAGGTATAGAACTCCCAGGTAACTATACTTCAAGATCAAAGTTGTTTTTTACGAAATAAAAAATATAGTAGCTAACAATTTGGTGAAATTCAATCAAGTCAAAAACACCTCCGAATATAAATGAACACCTCCCAATACATATGATTATGAATACCTCCCAATATATATGAATACCTCTTTGAAGTATAAATGAACACCTGAAAATGAACAATTTATTCAGTTACATATCTTTAATATCCCAAATCTTCATAATCTCAAATGTACTTTTCATGAGTTTAAATGTGACATGAATGTAAGGAGGCAGAAATATAATCTAGCAATTTTTACATCCATGTTCTGACTGGATAAAGGCTGTAACACAGAATCATTTCTAAATTTAAGAGTATAGAGAACATCATACTCTTGCCCTGGGTATATGTCATCTATTACTTGATTAGTTAATGGTCACATTTTTAAAGGGAATAGAAACAGCAAAACCTGTATATCTGAACACCTCTCTAATGTGAACACCTCTTAATGTGAACACTTTTTCATTGATTCACATGTTAAAGAAACCTTGAAGTATGAATATGTGGAAATACGAACATTTTTGGTCAGTCGCTGAGTTGTGTTTAATAACAAGTTTAACTGTACGTCATCTTTCGTCTGATTAGTAAATGGTCACATTTTTATATCAAAACAATTTAGGAATTGCTCTTTTCTCTTGATTAATGGATTAATTCACTGATTAATTAGAAAAGATTTTCATTTGTTTTGATTATTTCCTCAGCATGTGTCTAAACAGCATAATGAATATAAAACCTTGCATCCGTAAAATATCAAGTACAAACGTCAGGAAAATAATCACAAAAAATGGACTTCATAGTTTAAAATCAGACGAATTTACCGATTTCACTCAGCGAAGAAGTTATTTTATCATTAAAAAACTATTAGCATATTTCAGTCGTGATTACCCCAGTGAACGTATAAATCATGATGTCGGGTATAATTGTTCGAAGATTCTAAATGAAATTAGCCGGAATAAGGGGTTAGTTTTGATTCGTTCTTAGTGTACCTTGAATCAATCTTAAGCCATTTGATTTTTATTTGATGGCATTATTTTATGCAGTGGTGCGATTTATGAGCGTTTTACCTGAGGTTTTTATAAAGATAGATCGCGCTTTGGTAATAAAAAAAATGAATTGACGGATATTATAGGATTCGTAATCTGGGTCTCAAACTTTTGTTTTCGTCAAACTGTAATCTGCAAGACTCCTATTTATAACATGTCCATAGAAAAATCATTTCGTTAAATTGCTTCTTTAAATTGAGACAGGATCTGGGAATTATTTTGAATACAAACTTATTTTCATAGTCTGGACAATACAAAGATTCTGTGATGCTTTGCTAATTCCACCATTGGAAAGGCATATGGTAGACATTCAGCAAATACATATACTGTTAGAAAGCTAACATGATGATCTTGTATATACATACACCTTTGGAAAGTCAAGAAGCAGGGAATATCGGTATAGATATATGTACAAGATATACCATTTGAAAACTGAGATTGGCTTCCCAACAAGAATAGTATGTTTATATCATTTGAAAGTTATGTCGAGCTTTATGAGCACTGTACATCACATAAATGTACCCTTGGAAAGCCAAATTTAGTTTACCAGATGTCTATAACTTATACTACCAAAATGTACAGCATGTGTTTTAATCTAAGCTTAAACTAATAAAACACTTTCTTAATCTTTCAATATTGGACAATTCAATAACCTTACGCCCTCTGTCTTTTTTCCTCTTCTCTCAATACATCAAGCAAACTAATTGGGCAGAAATGAAAAACATTCTGACACTAAAATAATTATTTCATCAGCGTACACATTTACAGACAAACTTTCTTCAGAGATATTCAAGATTCTCCGCAAAGTCTATCAATTAAGTAGACTTGATTATGACACATCCCATAGTAACGACGCAAAATAAATAAATTTATTTTCGATAATTAGTTGAGAATTGAGATGCTGAAACACACTGTAAAGAATGGATAAGATCCCAGGGTATCAATTTTGCGGATGTTTTCCCATGATTTCTCACGCAGAAAGTCGGGTTAAATGTCACCATGACAAGGAAAAAGTCACTTAATTTAGTGACAAGGCTTGATAAACTACTAGCTTCATCATAAAGGCAATTGAAGCGTTCATGCTGAAAACTGAAATTCCTCAATTGAGGATGAAAAACTAAGGGGAATCCATCCATGCCCATTTCATCCTTTTTCATTCTAAAATTTAAATAAACTTTCAGATTTTCTTGCATTTCTATACAATTTAGAGTGTTAACTACATGCCTGTTTACTTTATTTCTTGCGTTTTCAACTCTTTTCCATGCTATTTTGCATTTCAAAGCATGACCATCCCATACAAAGGTTTTCTCTTGGGAAAACCAAGGCATCTTTATTCACTGTGCAGTTAGTTGGTCTCTATTATTGTTACCCTTTACAAAATATTTATATTCAATCAAGCACTGTTATATAACAAAGGAAAGGAAGGAAATCCAACTTTCCATTGTTACAAACTGGATATTTAATTAATATTTTATAAAAAATTAATGCAAAATTGATGTTATTAAGTGCATCCGAGTGAATAATTATTTGAAACCTAAACTATATTGCAAGATAATTAGTTTTGATCAGTATTAAATTCCAAATAAAATACCCTGGTGTTGGAGATTTAATTCTCAAATTACTCCAAAATTATCAAAATGGGCAAGAAACAAACTGAATACTGGTCGAATAAAAACCTTAAATTGTACAGAAAGCAAAGAAAATTAGGAGATTTACTCAGTTTTTGAGAGAAATTGAGCGAAAAAAGGGATGACAATTCCAAAATATATTAATGAGAACAATTCTGATCCTCCTTTGATATCATAATACCAGCTCATATTGATTTTGGTCTGCCGTGAAAAAGTCTTTGAGACACGCATGCGAATACGATGTACCGTATCATTATTTTCTGATTCCGTATTTTTATTGTGATTTCAAATCGCCAATATGCAAACACAGCTGTCCTGACCTGCCCGAGGCAGAAACAAACAATCTGACGATTCATATGAAAAGGGACCCCCTTATGCCACACCCCATGTAAATAAAAACACCCCCTGACTTGATTATATATCATTGTTTTGTCATGCAATTGTGTGAAAATATGTTTCATCATATCTGATAAAAATGATGAGATAGAGATAATAATAAATAATATTCGCACTATTTCTCATATCCTGACATTTATTTGCCAAAAATCATTCATCACATGGATTGAATGAATGAACAAAATATAGATGACGTCAAATCATTTCTACTTATAATTCATCCATTTTCTCAAAATAATTTGAATGAAGGTTCCAATTTTCATGCATTTCTATACAATTTAACATTCATATAACATACGATTGGTTTCAATTCTTCCTTTTAGCCTCACTTTGATATAGAAATCGACGATTCAAAATGTGACTATAACGACATTTTTTCACATCAAGCAGACGTAATCACACGTACCTGATAAATATGCCACAGTGGCAAGTAGAGCGATGCATACAATGAGTAATATAATTGCGATACATTTCCAATTGCATCTTCGTTTCAGTTTCCCCATGGTGATACTGTCACTACTGAACCGTGAAAAATGTTGATAGTCATGCTGATGCACAGGGGCGTACCCTGGGGGAGGGGGCTGGGGTGTCGTCGGAGCAGGGGGGATGTTTCCAAACTGGAACTGCCTAAAAATACAAAAAAATACAGAATTATGAAACAATTTCACTTTCAAAGCATACAAAAGAGAAAAATTAAATAAAAAAATAAATTCATTTTTTCCGCTGTAACCATTTACCACATTTCTTATCACCCCCCCCCATCTTTTTCCTGACCAAGACATATAGTATGCTATAGGGAGAATGGGGACAGGGTTTTGATGCGAGACTATTAAGCTGTAGTTCAAAGCTCTACGCAAATGGCTGAAACATGCAAAACTCATGCTCCCTTGGTATTCTACGCAGGTATTTCGCATCCTCATTTCACCGCAGCAAATGGCAAATTCAAAGTCCCCCGCTTAATTTATTGAGAATTTTTCCGCATCAGATTTCCAGGAGGACCGATAAAGTTGTTTTTTCGCTAGCAGAAGCTGACATTCTAGCTAGCTTCATTAATTTTATTGTCCCATTCTTAAGCTCTAATTTGCCAGTATTTCTGTAAATTCAATCTATTAGAAAAACTGTAAACTCTAGCGAATAGCGCTAAGCTGTTACTGCTAGCTGATCCAGCGTAATGATTCATCTATAATTCACCATTGATCCATATTCAATTCTTAAATAGGTAGCTCCTGTGAAAAGTCTCCTGCAACAAATCTCCTGCAGAATTTCCTACTACAAATCTCCTGCAAAATCTCCCTCTACAAATCTCCTGCAAAATCTCCCTCTACAAATCTCCCGCAAAATCTCCCTCTACAAATCTACTGTTGATCTGAACAACATCCTTGGATATATCCTCCATCTACCAGAAGAATATAGAAAACCCAAATGCTGATAAAACAAAAATTTAAAAGATAAATACTCGAGTACAAAATATGGGAATAATTAGCACGGAATAATAACAGGAACTAACTGAAAAGTGTAAGTTCGTGCATTTTAGACTCAAATCTTGAATCAAATATCAAATATTTTGACATTATATGACTGCCGACAATTTGAGCCTCCAGATTTCATCATTTTCACTAGTTTTCTTATATTTTTCTGTATCTCAATCCAATTATGCAAAAAATTGTGACATTGCAGCTCCTTTGCGAGGGATTAATTCACCATATGTTTGGCACACTTTTTTATTTGAAACTGTCTCTTGTGTTTTGACAAACTGAGGTAATCATCCTTAAGTGTAGGACCATCATCTTAATGTTTGAAATAAATAAACAAAGAACAGATTTAAAATACATCTGTGTAAATAATAAAATGAAAGCTTTCAACACAACATTTCATTAATTACATAAAGAAAAGCATGTATCCTATTATGTACTTTACTGGGATACCCTTTACTGTATCTTATAGCTCAGAGACTGACAAAAGCAAATGGATACCTTTTAAAAGGGTATTCTCACTCTCTAACCTACTCAGAGCTTTGGTTTACACACTGATTTAATAATGTAAAGTACAATATGTCCCCACCACATAGTAACATAGTGTCATACATTTAAAAAGATTAATCTAATTAAGTACCTAAGAATGGGACATCAAATTCCTGAAAATGGTAACTTTGACTACAAATACTAAAAAATACACCTTTTACTCCTAGATGAACCATCCCCTTAGACACATAAAAGCAATCCTTGTTGCAGAGGTTAGTTCTCAAACAAAGATGAAGCTCTCTTTTAAGAAGCAAAGTCAAACAAATGGAAATGCTACTTAAAACCTAGTGTTCCCTTGCATTGAGTCACTAGACTTTCATCCCCATCTCATTTCAGATCCAGATGTGAGGATTGCAAGGAGGAGAGAGAGGGGGAGGTCATAAGAGCTCCAAGGGAGACTAGTTCTTCAAAGCTTGATATATGATATCTAATCTAAGGTAAAAGTTAAGAAGATGGAGACCAAATACTGTGTGTCATCAGACCCCCAAGATAAGCCCCATGTCTACTCCCTCCCTTAGGATAAACCTCATATCTACTCATATAAGATAACTACCATATCTAAGACCTCCCATAGGATACTACTTACTCTAAACTGTGATAAACATGCTCATATTTCATATCTTTATATATCCCTTCATCTTCAAGTCCCTCGGCATCCTTCTTGCTATAGATATCCAAATAACTTTCCATTTTTCTAGTTTATACTTCAATACAATTTGTCCATTGCTTTATAATGGTATATCAATTTACTGCTATACTCTGTTTTGTACTACTCCGTGTATACATCAATATTAGTTATAGTCATTGTGTCGAGTTTATACAATCAAATGCCTAAGAGCATGACCACTTTAGAGTGTTATAATCTCTAATACGGTAGTTTACTACAAGGCTCGATTCTGTCTTCTCGATTGAGTCAGTTTTGCTGGAATTGAAGCTAGCATTAATTGTACGGTATTTCCTTTACAATCTCGAGTCCTTAATTATACCTCAATATTCTATTGGACGATAATCTACCAGATCGACGGAGACAATCGGATTGAATTAACAGAGAAATCTCGCTACATTGATTTCCAAGCTATAGATTTAATATTCCACATATGCTTATAGATTGATCTAAGTAACTCTTTAATGACATATTCTACTGTATACAATGTGTTATGTTACACTATTGTGAAGTCAATTGCTGTATGTAGTCATCGAGTCAATTGTTGTATATCGTCACATTGTACATGCTAGACCAGCGGTATTCTGTCACGCAATATATTCATTGTTATTTTTATTTTCTGTTAGTTCCCCAGTCTTGAGTCGCACTTTTGCTCTCCGTTTAAATCATGATTTCAATATGTTACAGATAAAGTGTATGATCCTTTAGCGATGTTTCCCCGGAAACTGCCGATTTTAATATCACTTTATAAAGTAAGCATCTACCGTTCCTATACAGAGGGCTTATGAAATAAACATGAGATTGGATTTCACGTCAATTTCGCCTCGAATACCAATGAAGATGCAATGCTGTACTGTAGCATGGAGTATTGTAGATGTCAAGTTTTATACGTCTTCCCATTTTCTGATATGATCCCATTTAGATTCCACTTTATATATCAACCCTAAAATATAGTGACTTCTCCGTTTTGCTCATTTTGTTAAATAATCTCTCGAAATTCAAAAACTGCTAATTGTCTGAAATTCTGAAGAGTAAAGTTTGTGGATTTTCTGCCTGTTTTTATTCCTCTTTAATTTCAATGATTTTCACTCTATTTTTGTATTAATTCCACGATCAGAATGACATTTTATTTACAGGCAGGCAGGGTTTATTCTATTGGACCATTGGTCAGTCCATACCATAGGTGTACCCTCCAAGAGAAAGGTACATACCTCGCTATAAGTGCCTTAACTAAGAAAAATATAATTCAGAAAATAAATCAGACATTTCTATTATAACAATTACATGCTTTGTGTATGAGAAAATTCAGTTAATCATTTTTTCAATTTTGAGAATTTATTTCCAAAAATTGTGGGTTGAGTCTGAATGATTTGCAAGGGTATATCTAGTTTATGGACCCTGAATAGGCCTTGGTTCAGTGATAAACAGAGTATCCCCTGTGGTCAAAATAAAATGATGGTATTTTCATTTCGCCAGGTTACAAATCGGCCAACTTAATTATGCTGTACAGGTTTTAATAATGTGTTCATGAATTCTCCGCAGTTTTTAATTTATGGGTGTGAAGTTTTTGAAAATCTGACCGTGGTTTCGGTATTGATTAATTTATGAGGTATTGGGGTAGTGGATACTTGCGGGGGACCTTTACCCCCTGAGTCCCACCCCCCTAGGACTGACCACACCCACCTTATTCAGTCACCCCCACAACAAAGAAAACTCAACAGATTTTCACTTTCTATCTCCGTAGCAACTGCAGTGATGTTTTCAAACAATTTAATTAGCGATCTAAATTAAGATGTGACAATTAAATGACCAAGTCTTGTTCAGAATGTCTAAACTCAATTTAGATTTCAAAATCGTTCAAAAATCCACCCAGGAGACTAAATAATTGCAAGCTAATTTAAATCTATCTTTAAATTATATCAAATTATCAATCTCGGGTTTGTTGAAATCTTTTGACCATAACTGACCAGCGATACATGATTACAACTTTCGACAACAATAGAGACGTCAATTACTGACCAAAAGTGGCGGTCTCGTCTCAAAAATCTTTGAAATTTTCGGGAATCGAGTCTCAGATTACGACAGTGATATGTCTATTAGAGTTGTAAGGTTGTACACCAGTGTAGCATACTGTAAAATTATAATGTATAATGCCTTAAATTGATGTAATTATATACAACACATTCAGTACCCTATAATTCACCATGTGTTATGATGAAAACATTCTAAATTGTTACAATTGCTGCCAGCGATATTTTCTGTAAAACGATTTTTACTTTGTATTGATGTTGATTTTGCTCCATTTTTCTCTAAAATTTGAATGAAGTGTTTGATTTTTGTTGCATTTCTATACAATATAGAGTGTTAACTACATCCCTGTTTACTTTATGCCTTGCTAATTCCACTCTTTTCCACTCTATTTTAGCTTTCAAAACATGTCCATTGTGATAAATTTCAAAACATCAGGAGAAATACTGTTTTGAATTGCAAGATAAAAACACATGGAATAGCAATGAATAAATCAAAAGCTAGAATTAAATACCCACCCTAAACTCAGAGAAAACTTGAATATTCAAGAAATTCTGATAAATTGTTCAAAAACTTCAGTGAACAGAGTTGATAGTTTAATGTTCGGGTTTGGACAAAAATCAGTGAACATAAAAATACCATGTGTTTTTGAAGATGAATCCTTCCCAAAGTGCTTAGGGCAGTAATATAATTTGATATTGTATTTTAAATTACTTCTACTCAAGTACGACAATAATTTTACGAGGGAACATTCGATGAATAAAAACTGTAATTTTTTCCTGCTGATGAATTAATTCCCAAAGGTATAAAGTATACCCTTTGGAAAAATGTACAAATTAAAGCGGTTCTTTTCAGAAATAGACAATTTTATCATCTCTTCAGATTTCTTTCATTTTCTTCAAGATAGTTGACCC